GTTGGGGACTGGTTCCGCATACAAGATTAGTTCTTTGTTCAATTTACTTGTTGCCATTCTGAATGATGCATGGTGATTTGACATTTATTGGATCGTCAAGCATCAAAATTTGCTAGTAGGATATCATGTTCCATGTGGAGGGACCCTGGGGGTGCTTTTATTACCTTGATTATTTTTGTCATCTAATTTTACAACTTCTGTTGCAATTCTTCAATGTTATTAGGTTCCATTTGCCATTTAATAAATATTGGGGTTTTTCATAATTATTTCATACTTTCATGACATTTGATAATAAAGTTGAGTACCTGTGATCTTAACTTTGGAGAAGCGAGTATATGAAAAATGCTATATTGCGCATCAAAGGTTTAAGAAGAAGCCACCAAAAAAGGGTCTATTTTTTAGGAACGTTAACATTTCCCTCGAAATAACAACGCCTAAGCATTGCACAGGCAATAGACTAGTAGTAAGAAAAGTGCAAACAAATCATTAAAGCATCCCACCCAAATCGTAAAACTACTACATCAATCCCATTTGCCACAAACTACCATCCAAATACGAACACCTTTGTTGCCAAACACTTCATTGTGTGTTGGCAACACTCCCTCCTTCTCATACAACCATTCACCGGCGTCGTCATTTACGAGGAAAATCAATGCTTGAGAGTTGGGAAAACGAAGCATGTAACTTCGATTCTTCATCTCAAATTAGTAAGATGGTACCTGCAATGAATTTTGGAGTGGTTGTTGCAATGACTTTCGATGGAATGTTTCTAGTCGTTTGTGCATGCGGTACTGTTAGTGATTGTGGTGGTTGATGGCTACCCCAGAGTGAGGACCCACGTGATTTTGACGCGAATGGAGATAGTGTTGGTCACAAGTAGTCACTAGGGATTTTACTAAGGTTTGACTAAAATTAGATTTGGGTTTTCCGTGGGCTTCTCTACATTTGATTAGTGTTGGTGATGGTGGCAATGAGATCCAAAGTATGGGCAATTATATTTATGTCACAATTTTTGTTTGCTACATTATATTTAATGGTTATGCCACTTTGACAGAAGGTGATTAACAGATGGAATGACGTAATGTAATTTGGCAATATATGATTGGATAAAAAAGTTGATTGTATTTAAAACAATTCAACGATGAAGTGTCATATGACATTATGTCAACTATTATGTCGGTGATTGTGTCAATATAGCATGATTCTATTTTAATTGTAATGAAGGTTTTCAATACTTATGTCCTCAACTTTTTTATCTTATTTGATCCTTAAATTAATAGTATTTATTTTGTTCCCAACAACGTTTTTTTGCCCAAAATACGGTGCAACAAACAAAAATTATAGTGTGAATAAACTTTCGGGCCGACAAGGAATGAGATGTTGTGGTGGTGGGAACGAGCTGTGGATAAATGTTACACAACAACTAACACAAATCGTTGCGAAGGCCACCAAATTCAGATGAGTGCAACACCAATTCATCGACAAATGGGGTGCTGGTAGCGAAGGTGAATGATTGTAAGTGTGTAACATATAGTATATTACAGGTGGGGCAAGGTTCGACTACGACGGGTTGGTATGGAGTGTGGGTGCGGGTGGTGGAATTTAATCCGATGGTAAATGACTGTAAAATAGTATGATATAATAACACAATATTTTTATAATAATTAAGAAAATTAATTTATGTTTAAATTACTTTATTTTATTGTAATCTTCCATTCTATTTTTCAGCGAAAGAGATTAAAGTTCATTTTTGCTATTGATAGTGTACGCCTTGTGTTATATATAACAGGCCCAGCCATTTAAATGGTAATTTTCGTAGGCCTTTCAGTACATATACAAGCGAACGGCGCTCCTCCAATATGAGGAGTCGGACACCCTTATGTACTTGGTGATATCCACCAAGAATAATTCGACACACAAACACCCCCCCCCCCCCCCCCCCCCCCC